GCTTCGGCTCGGACTCCTACTCGACAGACTCGTTCGAGGACTTATTTACAGCTAGCCCTTCGCAATACCTGGCACACAGAAACCGTCCGCGGGCATCACCAGGCTCCCCGGCAGCAAGGCCACGGGGCTTTACAACCTCCTTCAGGGCCTCCAACCTTTTACTCTATTCCTGTCACTTTTTTTTCCCTTCACAGCAGCAGCAACAAACGGAGAAACAGATGCTGAGCAGTTTGATCATACCCCAAATGAAAACTTGCTTAAAAACACCTAATCTCGGATTTAAAAAAACAAAACAAAAAACCCCCCAAAAACTGACAAAGCGCCAAAACAGAGCACTGGGAAACACTGTACAGGCTCCGTGACAGGTTTGTGAAATGACCTGCAGCCCATCAGGATTAAGCTGACAAAAGAAGTTTCAAAAGGACATAGCTTAATCTCTCTGTAAGACTGCGGGTTGTACTAATAAGCCATGAAATATTTAAGGAGAATTGGTCCAACCTATTGCATCACCATCAACAATCAAAATGCATTTTAATCTTCTCAGTTTTTACAGCAGCAGAACTTAAAAACTGCTGAACAAAAATATTCACTAAAAATATTCTGTAAAAAGAGGATGCATTTCTTAGTAAATACCAAAAATATTTTTGTTGCGATCAGTATCAGTACAAAGACACTACTTCCTTCAGGCTAGTACAGTCTTAGCTTCAAGGGGGATAGGTTTTTACCAGATAACTACTTCATTCAAAAAGAAACCTGACGACTATGGGGCTGTTTTGTTTTGTTTTGTTTTCCCAGAGTGTTAATCCTAATGGTTTCAGAATTAAATACTTGATTTTTTCTGTACATTTTTTGAAAATCATGTTCTTCAAATTGTATTTACATCGAGATAACAAAATATCCAGTTATCACATAGAGGAAAGACATATTTAATCCCTATAAACGATTCAAGTGCAATGACTGACAATGTTTTTACATATTCAGAAGAAAAAAACATAATCTAGTCAGTGAAGTAGACTGTACATTGTTTGTCACTTTAAGACAGATACTAAAGCATTGTTTTAGCAAGTCCAACAGGGTAGATGTGTCACACTCATTTATAAAATGACAATATGAGGGATTTTTCTTTTTCCCACAAATAAAAAATAGACCAGGTAACAGATAAGGCAGTGACAAGGAAAGAATACAGGGTTCAGCTCATGGCTTCCCTAAAATGGTTGTGAGATCATCTAAATCATGAAGTGGAAAGCCACTGTTTTCCCCTGGAAGGTTTTCCATATATATCTCTGAAGACTAAGAGTTTATCATAGAAATACAATTTCTCCTCCCCACTAGGCAATTTAATTTGCCGTACACCTCACTCCTGGATAACCCCCAGGGAAACCTTGTCAGCGGCAGGCCATACATCTCATTAATTGGCTAGAAGAGTTACTGCTAAGTGAGTCTCAGAAAAACTCAAGTACAAGAAACTCAGCTACACGAAAGGGCATGATGCCCTTACAATCTTTCCAAAAGAGTTAACAAAAGGAAAAGAAAAGCAGAAGTAATTTAAAAATACATTAACTGTACATGTAACATTCAGAACCTAGTAATATGGAAACTTTAGAAAAATTGATCCATCTTCAATACGTCCCTATGCCTCTGTGCAGTTACTATTGTAACTTACGCTATAAATCTCTCTGGAGTTTGGGAAAGCAACATCTGTATATACCACAAAATTGTAATGAATCAGTTGGGGTCATGCGAGGGTAGGGCTATGAATCTGCACAGAGAATCTGCTGCTCTTCTAACTCAGCCCAGGAATCTAGAGACTTGCAGGGAGAGGGGTGAAAACGCCTCTTCCAGGTGGCCCCTGGGAGTGGCAGTACATTTATGGAACATGGGGTCACTGCAGAATATAGTATGGTGGCCACACCATAAAAGTCACCTGGAAAATTGCTCTGATACTATCAAATCAATGTATCTAAAAAAGAAATCATGACGGCTGAGTATAATAGTGCTCTGGCTGTTGAAGTTGCACATTTTTTTGTTTTTAGTTCAAAGTCCCTTGTTGAGTCAAGGTTATTAGCCAAGGGGGCAGATATTAACTCTTTTCCTAGTTATGGATTCAGGGTTTCAGACAGTTTTTGCTCAGGCAGGAACAGAACGCTTTGTTATTTTACAAGTATTTTTTGACCACATATTGTACCTGAAATGATCTTTTTTACCTGGGAACATACGGTTCTGTTGGAGGAGGGGGTATGTAGAGATCCTGCAGGGCAGAACTGTCTCTTTTTGTAGGTGTGCTGATAGTGCTGGATGGTGTGGCAACACTGCTTGTAGGACTTCTAGGAATAAGAGGCTGGTTCATCAGAGAGAGAGAGAGAGAGAGAAAGAGAAAGAGAGAGAGAAAGAAAAAGAGAAAGAGAAAGAGAAAGAGAAAGAGAAAGAGAAAGAGAAAGAGAAAGAGAGAGAATCATGAATATCTGCATATCATACATTTTTTCTGGAAAAGCTACAAAAAATCTATAGCTCAGAAAATTAAGGGAAAGGTTCTAATGCTTTGTGTATTTTTAAACTTGCTGAAAAAAACATGCACGCTAAGGAGATATTCACATGTACACATGGACATGTATTGTGCTTATAAAATTGACTCCTCTGATTATACCTTTCCTTTTCCTCTTTGCAAAGCAAGATTATTGCCAATGCCTACAAAAACAGTAATCAATCAGTAGTGCCACTGGTGAAATCTTTATGCATAAATAACATATAAAATCCAGAGAATTCCTTAATTAAATTAACAGTCTAGTGTTTACAGTAAAAGGTGCATAAGTAGGCATTAAATAGAATGTCATCTTCCCCCATCTGTTCTACAGCTCAAGAATTAACTGTAAAATCTATGGTTTATGTCTACAGATGCTGTAAAATTTCATGCATCCTCAGAGAACACATGCTACGAGACAGAACAAACTGGATATTGTTATTATTCTTCACTCCCCTGGACACACTCCTGACAAGTAATATTTACTCACAGGTAAATAAGTTGCACCTTTCCTGCAGAATAAACATGCATTCCAGTCCAAATATGATCCTTCCTCGTAATCACATTTCTCTCTTCCTTGAATTAAGCACCACTTTTTCTTCCTCAATGTAACTGTCTTGACTAGCCAAATAATGACCAGACGCTTAAAGACTTTATTAACTCACTGTAGGGCTGGAAATTATAGCAAGATTTGCAAACTGTCTCTATGCAGATGCAGATGCAGAAAAATAAAATGAGAAGCAAACCTGGATTGCTCTAGTCTCCCTAATAAGCCTATGTTTCTTGGCTTGTCTGATAGCTAAACTTAAGCAGGAGAAGAAGAAAAATGGCAAAGAAGCAAGTACAATGATATCTTTATACACACTAAAATTAATTCAGTATTAAATATATGCCAAGTTTTGCTTTGAAAGAGTTCTTTTCCCTCCATCTTCTTGGAAACAAATCCCTTAAAGAAAAAAGTGGTGGGAATATAGTGTTCACCCCACTTGGATTTTCTGACCCAAAAAACTGCTGGAGGACACAAATATTTAACATCATATTTACAGCAGAGAAGCTCTGAACACAGACTAAACAGACATGTAAAGAGATTCTTCTGCCAGCACTATTAAGAA